TTTAGGATTTAGTATATACCCTTAAGTCGAAACACGTTGATGAATTTTTACTGCATTTTAATAAATGAGCGTTCAATCTATATTCCAAGATGTCGCTTCCCTCATGGATGACCGTAAAACCTATTATTTCTGTTGCCGGAAATAAACGGCGTTTAATTAATTCTCATTTTGCAATTAAACAATTTGTAATTTCATAGAATCGATAAGTCACACCCTTCGTTTCTCCAGACAAACTTTTAACTGTCGCTATGCTCGTTCCACTTTTAGATAGCGCGCCGGTCATTTCGGTATATTTAAATTGCAAATTACTGGACGAGTCATTAGTCAGCAACGTGATACGAAGATGTGCACTGTCGGGCAGATTTTCCTGGAAATACATAACGCCGCCGGTCCTGTTCATTAAAATTTACGCGGTTCATTATATCTTGATTCAACGAATATCCTCATTTGTACCGTTTAAAAATGCGCGTGCTTTTAAAATGAACGCGTCCGCGCGGCTGCGCTCTCATTATTGACCGCGGCGCGTACCGCGATCGCCAGGATTTCTGTGTACTCTGAAAACAACGGAACGAACCGCGGACGACAACCGGCGTTGTTTCGTTCCCTCCCCTCCCCCCCTCCTCCTTCTCCGCGATATCGCATCTGCATGCAGATATATCACCAAGTTATCGGTATCCCCGTAGAATCCAGCGCGATCTCGCGCATTTGCGACGCCACTTCCGGCGCGGCGGGGGAAACAAAACGCGGGCCCGGGCGTCGTGTCGACCGGCAAAACGGCGCGATTTATCCGCAACTTTCGCAATAAATCAACAACAGAGATGCGTAAACAATTTCTATCATCTCTGGCCCGCCGGGACGCGCGGAGAGATCAATCATGGGACGCGCGACTGCGGCGCGACTTAATTACCCGACACGGTCGCCGGTCGATGGTGCGAAAGATCGCACAGCGATCGAGGACTTTAAATCGCCGATTCCACGAAAGCCGGACGCTCGATCTCGGGGGGAGGAAGGGCGGGAAATCGTGGATAACGGTCTACTCTTTCGTTCTCTCCTCTGCAATCTGTTACATTACAATTTCGAGCGATCGCGAGCTGCGCGCTGTTTGAATCCTCTCGGGCGCGCGTCTCCGAATGTTTCATCGCGCTTCATCTCCCCGAAAAATTCTGCGATAAAAATATATATAAAATAAACGAGAGACGAGTAGAAGAAAATATAAACCGTAAAAAAAAAAGTTTTTAACCAGGATCGCGCCGCGCTGCGGACGGACGCGTTGAAAATCGAATGTCGTTAATTGAAAAATTCCCGGCATTTCGATGCGATGATTGTAACGCGAGAGCGCGCGAATAAATATATGGCGGCCGACGCCGAGAGATACCGATCTCCCGCGTCGATCAGCATCCCGTTGACCCACGCCGAGGATAATCGGTGGAATGCACGTGTAAAAGCGCGTCGCGCTCGCGCGACTCCGCATTTGAAATCACACCCCGAGTTTTCCCGTCGCTTTTCAACGGCGGCAGCTGCCCGGTCCAGCTGCCATGCGGCACGGGCGTTTCGAATCCGGTCAATCTGCCGCACTTACCCCTTTAAATGGAGGCGCGCGCGCGCGCGTCGTCGTCGATTCGCTCGTTTCCCCGATTTCGCGACGCCACGCGCGGTTTTGTCGCAGCCGCGAAAAACTTTTTTTCCCCGTCGGAAAAGCGGGACGGCGATAACAATCACGGGCGACGATAACCGTCATTCGCCCCCGTTGATTATCGCCGCGGCGTTCGGCGACAAAGTCGATATTGTGCGTTTACCTGCGACGTGCGCGATTTCCAGAACGGCCGATTTGGTTAATGAAATTCTTTTTGCCGTCAACAATGCGGAATTGAAACAATTTCGATTTGCAAGGTGCTTGCACGCGCCGAAAGAATTTCGTGTAAAAGTGCAACTATTACGCGGAGAAAACTCTCTTAAAATTTATCCTTAAAAATCGTGTAATCGTGGGACGACACGGCATCTCGAAGAACTGTATGAGAGTTTTCTGAAATTTTTTTCATTAGTAAAATGCGTGGTAAAATTTCGAAAGACTCTCGTACAATTTCGAGATGCCGTGTTGTCCCGCGACAGAATAAATTTTAAGAGAAAGTTGTTTCCGTGTACAATGGGTAAAAATATTGGGATCATCTGGGCTTACATTTACACACGCCAATAAATTTCCCTCTTGCAGATAAAATTGTTATCTTATATAACAAAATAATCCGCTCTTAATTTTAACATTTTCCACAATTTTCCAATTGTTCATGCAACGAGAGTGGAAACGAATCTTTGTAAAAGTACACGAATTTATACATTTCCGTTATTAATTGTGTAATTGTTACGCTCATTATTTATGTAACTTTATATATCCTTTCTTTACAGTACAGGTGTGGATGTAGGCGTGGACACTTTCTTGCGAATAATACGATGCTTGAAATTTCGATCGAATCAGCTAAGAGTATCGGACGATTGAGACAAATTGAAAAGCTTTACTTATCTCTTTCTCTCTATCGCTCTCTGTGTCTGCACGTTTTCATGCATGGACTCGATGGCGAATTTATTATCGCCGGGACATACATATTCATCGTGACGGACGTCACTCAGGATATAGGAACCAAATCAACTGGAAGTGAGACCGTGGCCGTTGAAGCACTCACGTTGTCCGCGAACTTTATACTTTATCGATGGACGCTGATGAATTTTTACGCGCTTCATCCGTTGATTCAACGCCGCCGATGTTGTACCCGCGCGGTAAAACCAGGCGCGACGTCTAAAGGGACAAGGCGAGGAGTGGAAAAAGAGCATGGTTGATGAAGGTTCAGCAATATGCAAACGCGGGCGAGCCCCAGGAGCATCGGCTACGCGAATTACAACGCTGAATATACGGGCGCCTCTTCCCCGTCGCGCTATAATACCGTATTTCGCGCGAGATAAAAGCCCGCGAGTCCGATCAGCAGACAATACTTTGAGAGTCCGCGATACACTTGCGGGGACTCACGTCTGGACCCGATTTAGCAATGAATCAATTAAATTTTGCAATCTCGTGACACAACAGATAATTCGCCAACTTTAATTATTGTTAGCAGATTAATGTTTCGAGGCGAAAATTGCGCGGAATATATGCATAGTTTTCAATGAATTAAACCTGACAGACGGCAGTAGAGAGACGTGGCGCGTGCGTGGAATTCAACTACAAATATTTTCCTCCTCGGTAAAAGCCGTATCAATTTGCATGTCTAATTAGCCATTAGCATAAAGCTAGTTTCTTATTACTTAGCACGAGAGAGGAGCCCGGCATAAGCAGCAACAAGGCGCGTTCTCCGTTTAATCTCGCGTGTTTCAGTTCAACGAAATTACAGAGCGGACAATGTCCGTCGAATTATTTAACGCGCCGTGCAGGTAAGCCCGGCGTGTCGGCGCGCCAGCTCCGCTTTAAACGGATGTTTTATAAAAAATAAATAAAATATTTTTACGGTCGAACGGGGGTTGTTGTACGCCCTGTAGGAACGGATCCCTCAAAGGGATAAATGAAAAATATTGCGTGACTCGCTGAATTGTTGCCATACGCGTGCGAACGAAATGAATCGAAACACTCTTTTGTAACCCGGTTTCGGTCGCAAAAAGTGTATCGCGCGATATATCGGCTTTACGCGAGATTTGCACTCAGATATAGACTATCCTTAACCCAATTAACTCTTGTTATCCCTTTCACTCGATTTTTCGAGTATTTATACCTTCGCGTGAAAGAATTAAAAAAAAAAGAGGTATTTCAATACACGCGGTGAAAAGTATTTCAAAACACCGCACAGCCGTGTTTTTAAACGCATCAGTATTTTCCACGCGGAACGTTTGTCGGGTTCTCGTTAAACGATTCTAATAGAGGATAAATATGAAATATACACAATGCCGGCCGAAATTACATCACTTTTAGATTTACCGAGCACACCTTTCGCCAAAGTGCATCGATTGTGCTTGAAATTTTACAACAAACACCCGATAACACGTGCAACTTACACGTGAAGGGTGTTGACAAAGTACACTAAGATTTTCGAATTTTTCATTCGTGCACTTTAAAACTACACCCAGAGAAAATAGTTACTTAGGTAAGCAAGTGATATACGTCGAAATCGTATTTTTTTAAATCTACTAAATGTTTATTGATTTGCACCAAACGTTTTTAGATAGATTCGAAGAAAAAGATATGAATTCTAGAAATTCCAGTTAAAACGAGTTTTGTTACCGACGGAGTCAAATATTAGTTTTTACGCTTGTAAATTTTATTGTTGGCTTTTATGCACAAACTAATACCAGGACCGGACTGCACAGTAGAACATTTTCATACCAAAAACACCGAGTTTAGAAGCGTAGAAAAATATTTTTTCGTCGACTTCACGTTTCGCACGTACGCATATTTTCAAAGAGACGTTTCTTTTCACACAGGCTTCTAAGCCCATTTGTAACGGTACAGTAATATTCTGCCATGTTGTCCCGAGGGTGGACGCTAAACGTTTTGCACAGACAGCCTACGGAACTTTTATATTAAGAGGATCCTTCAGCCATCTTTTTTACCGACACAGTCAAATGTAATTTTTGCGCATGTAATCCTTTTTATTAGCTTTTATGCACAAAATAATGCCATGATAAGTTGCGGACCGTATAGCAGAACATTTTTATATTTAAAACATTCAGTTCAGAAGTCTAATAAAAGAGATATTGGATGAATTATAAGCGCAAAAACTGTATTTGACTGTGTCGGTAAAAAAAATGGCTGAAGGATCCCCTTAAATAAATAAAGTTACACGAGAAGTCGCTGATTTTTCATCGGTAAAGATCACTTCTTTGAAATGAAATAAAAGCCTAGCGAGGTCAGAATTCCAATAAATTTGTTTAATTTCAAACCTTCTTCTGGGTGCAGTTATGCTCGAAAAGTCGGAAGGCGATATAACTTTCGCCGGCACTGCATTTTCCGTTGGACTACTCACCCTCGTACACCCAATCGGGCACGCCATTGTAAATAGTACCGAACACCCCCGTGTTGGTTATCTGATAGTCATTGGCCACCTCCGCCTCCGGCCTGTAGTAGATGTTGTTCTGGTGAACGTAGATCAGGGCGTTGCCGCGCGGTGCCCAAGTCGCGAGCTGCAGCGGCGTCGACTCGTTTGCCGCCAATACCGTCTCCAGCCTGCGAACAATAAAGCGTTTCGTATAATACAGTGAAAACAACGACCCGTACGGTTATTTCTCCCGGCGCGTTCTCCAAGACGGCGACCGCTCCGCGGTTTTTCCGCCTCTCGAGCGGGAAAGAAACTGACGCGCGCAACTTGCCCGCTTTTTCCGCGCTGCACGTTTCTCGCGGTAAATAAAATGTTCGCCAGTCAGTATCTCTCGAAGGACGTTGCGCTTTCAAGGACGGACGGTCGCGGTAAAAATGTTACGAATGCAAGAGCACTTTTTACTACTTCGGTAACAAAATTACCAAAGGAGAGAGAGCGCGGTGGAGACCGGGAAGACGGAGTGTACGTACGCGCGCGCACGTCATTGTGTCTTGAAATGAGAAATACTGCGGAGCAACGTTAAGCAGCGAGATAAACGTCTCATATATTTTATATTTTTCGATTTCGCTAATGTACCGCCCGAAATGCCGCCTCTCGCGATAACTTTCTTCTCCGTTCGCGAGATAATTAAAAAAAGAAAAAATACAATGTGCAAAAACGCGAAGTACGAAGGTGCAAAACCGTAAAGCCCGGCCACCTCCTCGGAGATAATTGCGCTTCTTTGCGCGCCCGCGTCTCGCCCATCGATCTCAGTCGGATGAATTTGCGCCCGCAACGGGGTCGGTATCGAAATTCGAGTTTATGAAGTTGAGACGGATAGAGGAGACGGTGCAAGCGCCGCCGGATCACGTCCGCGTTGTTATTGCTTAGCGCTCGTGACCGATCGCCGCGACCAACAATGACGTCACTGCGCGCGTCCCGCCTCAACAATGCCGTAACTCTGTATGATTTTAGGCGGGTGGTTCTAGTTTGGAACTGCCGGACAATCCGGAGACGCGGTCCCGCATAACTAGCAGCGGCCGTATTGTCACGGCGGCTCCGGCCGGGGAAACGTAATGCGGGCGACAAATTCTTCGTCAAAGGCCCGCGGCCCCCAAACAACGGCGGGAAGGGGATTATTACCGGCGAGGGAACGATCGAATAAAATGGCGAATAAGTAATTACTCTGGGAATAATTACGATTATAATTCACGGGGCGCCGTTAACATCCGAGTGGGCGTGGCGCGCTGCGCGTTTTCGCGTATTGGTCGCGCTACGTTTACGAAACCGTATTATTGATGCTTTCAGCGCGACAGAAACTATTATGGGGAATTGCATGTTTATTGCCGGCAATAAATTATCTCTTATCGCGTTATCGTGCACGTTAATTGACTTATTATTCGTGCGATATAAATAATGTTACGCTACGATAATTAATTCCGTCGGAATGAAATTGCGTCGGCTCCCCTCCTTTGAGGGACACAAATACGTTTATCTCGAGAAGGAAACCGCTGACCAAAGTCTTGTAAACCAATGCCCACTAATGATAAGATAAAATAAGATAAATAAGATAAGCCCACTGGGTACTATTTTATCTTATTTATCTTATTTTATCTTATTTTATCTTATTTTATCTTATTTTATCTTATTTTATCTTATTTTATCTTATCTTATCTTATTTATCTTATTTTATCTTATTTTATAATGCCTCAACAAGTCTAATGCCCAAAAAATGCCTAGTAATGCCCAGTAATGTAGGATTATTTAAATTAAAAGAAGGGTAGTTTAGCAAGAACGAGGAGTTCGATTAATTTGGGCTTTAATATAAAATAATAGGTACAACGTAAACACCGTAAATCTGTGCACTACAATGCCCTCAGCGGTTTCCCCCTCGGTTTATCCTTTACGTCGTCCATACTTTTTTTCTTTCATTTCGTTCGATCTCTTCTAATTCCCCTTTAATTTTATGTCTTATTGTTTCTCGCCTCTTTCGCATGTTTTGGGATTTTAATAAATTTAAACGTCTTGTAAAAAAGAAATATTCGAATAGAGTTTTCAATTTTCCTCCGCTGCCCGCGTTTTACGATTTCCTCGTAAATTAAGTCTTGATCGGGCAATTTCTGCCAAGACTAAAGAGCTCCGCGCGCTCATTCGCGATTAGGTAGACGCTGTTTACAAAGGGCTTGAGGAAAGCCGATTAAGGGAAGTTGATTTTTGCCCTCGCGCGCGTCGTAAAAATATCATTGTGGATCCTACAATGTAGACAATGTAAATCGACAGGAAACATTCCGACCATTTGTTTACTCGAGTACCGGAGCCGTAGATTTTATGATATAGGATACAAGTTTCATCGACAGACACCCTTTTCGTTTGTACATCCACAATACGCATAGGTCTTTTACATAATCGCGTTGCCTCACGTACCGTAAAAGTTTCGCCGACAAAGTTTGACATTTTACTCTTTTAACGTCGCGTCGGTTTAAGATGCACGGTTTTAAGTTCAAGACGCGTCCGACAATAAGACGTTCGGCGACGCGCGGCGCCGCGGCGCATTCCCTTCACGTGCCCGTCATTGTTATCTTTTTTCACTGTCATTTCGGATAAAAGTTTTATCCATTTCGGATGAAAGTTTTAAAATCGAGATCAGGCACTGATATATGGCAGATTGCCAGCCCCGCAACGTCCGTTTCCGCGCGCGGGGAAACTATCGGAATCCATTCGCGTGCGAACTATTGGCAAATACATTATCGGAAAGAAACGAGCGAAGTCACTGGCTGAAGCGCTATCTCATATTGTTGGATTATTAATTAAATTACGCGGAAACAACTTTCTCGCGTGAGAACATCGGACTTATCCCTTCGCGCGGTTTCCACCGCGGCCTTTTAACTCGTCGATTGCTTCTTCTGAAAAATGAAGACGCGTTACTAAGTTACATTTAATCCAGCGGACCGATCCGATTGTCCGCCTTAGCTTTGACATTTTGAAATTTCAACGAGCGTTACGTTCGAAAGTGATTTTCGCTACGCTCCTCTCCGCGCTCTGCTTCTACTTTTTTTACGAAAACTCGCTTTCATAGAAATTCCAATCCATAAGGGAACTTCGAACGTATCGCGAAACATGCGAGTTTCATCTTACCGTCGCCGCAATATGTGCCCACAAATGCATATGTTCCTGGGATACGTTTTCCAGGTGCGCACACTTACGTACGCATCCGAAAGAGAATAGGAAGATGCTTGAGGGGGACGAGAAGCGCGGAAAGAGAGAGGCTTCTTTTCTCTGTAGACGGTAAAATCCGTTCGGATATAAACCAAAAGTACGCTCTGCGCATTCTGAAATTGATTTTGCGACGGCTTCTGGGATTACAGATGGAACAGACAAACACGTTTACGATTATGTAACCACATGTATACGCGTGGGAAAAGGAGGCGCATGAAAATCGCTTGAAATCTACGAGTGCCCCGCAAAAATCAATGTTTCTGTCGTTTACATGGAAAAAGTGACGTTGCGTCAATAGCGTTACAGTTCAGCTTGAAAATAATCTTGTTACTTCAATACGTCATGCTCTCGTTTTAATAAAACAAGCACGCGTTTCATTAACACAGTCGTTGAAGTAACCAGATTATTTCCAATTACATTCGACACTGTCAACGCATCATTTCTTTCGGCCTGTATTAATATGTCAATAATACGCAATTTATATTTTGCTATCCCGGGTAAAACTGGAAATCTCACTCGTGCAATATCTAATTATATCCAAATTCTATACTCATCAGATCTTCAGAGATACTTTTGTTGAATATTCGAAGTTGTATGTATTCAGATCTAATTAATTATTTTAATAGTACATTTAATTAGATTTAGGTAGATAACCTCGAGTATTCAAGAAAAGGATCAAATCTCTGAAAATCTGATGGATTTTAGAATTCATAGATTCTGAGAATTTCAGATGTCATGAGATATAATTAGATATTACACGATTGAGACATATAGAACGAGGTTTTTCATTTTTTTCCCCCGGGATGCTTACTCTCGTCTTTAATATTTCTCATTGTTTCGCTCATTAATTGCAATTATTTTAGTAACTACGTTTTAAACAATCCTCGAAATGTATGTTGGAAAACCGCGGCGAAGATTACTTCGTACACGGAGAAAATTTTCTGTTAAAATTAGCCCTGGAAATCATGTAATCGTGGAACATTTGATGGATTTTTTGGAAATTTGACTATACATTTTATCAGTAAAACGTATACAGACAATACAATTATTAAAGAAATGTGTAGTAACATTTTACGGAACTCTCATAACTCTTCGAAATGCCACGTCGTCCCACGATTACATAATTTAAAAAAATTGGTAAATA